AATCAGCACTCCCTTCTGAGGCAATGAGAGTCATGGGTGAAGGCTGGTGCTCAGATTTACGTTCTGCAGCTGAAGCCGTGTGAGAGCAGGCACTGCTGGCAGCTGGGACTAGATCCTTGTGAAGTGCTTTTGGATATCAAAGCGCCCGGGCCTGCCTGGAGAAACAAATGGAAAGTCCCCAGGAGTCATCATGGGAGCTGGTTTTACCAGAGGAGCAGAAAAACACCGCTTTAAGGGTTTTCAGAAGCACAAGAAACAAAACGAAAGGACAATGCTGCAGGAAACGCCTGCGGTCCAGCAAACAAGCTAATCTCTGTTGTACAGCAGGGATGTTTCATGTGGGATTTCCAACTTGTATAAAATCCCCGTGTGAAAAGCACCTGCTCCAGTGTTTCTGGCATCCTTCGTCCCCATGAGTGCTTGGCAGAGGGCAAAAGCTCTTCCCACCTCTCCACTGCCTCTTATCTCCCTGGAGACAGGTTCAAGCCAAATTTTAACAGAAAACTGCCAAAAGGGATTTTTGAGAGGCCACCCAGCCTCTAACCTGTTTCCCTGGCAGAGACAGCTCAGCCTGTTTTTCTTGATTGTCCAAATTGCTTTTGGGAAACCTGTAGACAAGCAAACACTTGGGAGTAATTGCTTTCAGTCTCTAAAAGTGGTCCCAAGACTGACAGCAAACTCCATCTGCACTGCTTCTTACCCACCTTCCTTTGGGTGTGGGCACTGCAGTCTGTGACTGCCACTCATTACCATCCACATTAATCAGGTTTTTTTTAATTTAAGAGGATAATGGTCAAGATCAGTGAGAGCACCACTCTCTGCCTTTCTTAGCAGATCCCTCTAGAAGTTCTCTCCTTGAACTAAGACCACTTGCCAGAAGAGAAGCCCCAGGACATTATTTCAAAACATAATGGAACACCTAAAGAAAGTCAGAAACCTTTGGGTGCTTTGACCCAGGTTTTTAGCTCTGGACTGTTGTAACCTTTCAGTTTCCAAACCCACAACGGTACCTCATCGCTAGTTAATCATGAGCACCCACTTCCGGAAATCATGACTAACCCAACAGTCTCATGCCCAGATAAACCATCGTCACGGAGGAGAAGCAAACTTCCCGAGTTGCAGTAAAGGGCCCTTTTGGTTGAGATTGCGATCTGCAATGCGTAAAGGCAAATCCTTACCTGAAATAAACTGGTGGATGTGCTGGCTGTGTTGGTGAGCAAACGATGCTATAGAATGTGTCAGCACTACATCGTAAGTAGGATCATAAGGAAGAAGAGACTGAAAATCGCTCCATTAGGAATAAAACCACCCGAGAGTTGGAAGGGGTATGAAGTTCCCTCCTCTCTTATAGGCTGGTTTCAGTTCAGCAGAGTAGGATGGCGGGGGGCATACACCCCACACACACCTTCTGCTGCTTCACCTTGCTCTGAAACAGACGGTACCAGCCAGAGCCTTAAAGAAGATGTTGGCCTTAGCTCGGAGCTGCGTCTGCTTTGTCCTGGTATTTCCCCTGGTTCTGTGGGCTGGGATGTCGAGTGGGATAAGATCTGACACCAGCATCAGAGAGAAGGAGACCACTGCAGCAAGGCGAACACATCACTGCTGCTTTGCTCTAGGATGGGACAGGGTTAGGCAGGACCAGGAAAAAGTTCTGTAGCTCTGTGTCTTTCCAGAGTTCCAGATGAAGATGAAATTGCTGCCACGTGGATAGCACTGTGGTTCAGAGATTACTCAAAAGCATAGGACGTGGGTTTTGTGGGGTTAAGGAATGCTCTTGCCTCCCGCTGCTAACAGCTAATAAATGTTTGCACAGCAGGGAAGTTCCAGACAGGTGAAAGAAAGTTAATTTTCTGCCAATGTTCAAACAAGTCAAGTAGAATAACTACCACGATTATTAGACACAGGAAAAAGCGATTACTAAGTGTTTCACCTTGGGAAGACAAAGCAGCTCTTCAGAGAAATAAATTGCTGTAACCAGACATGGGCAAAACAAGTCAATCTCAAATATATATAAAAAAATTCTGAAAACCTTACAATGCAAAAGCATTTTAAAGAAAAGTCTGTGCTTCCTGTAAGGACTTAAATAATGCATAAGTCTAAAATAGGGGAAGTTATTGATTAAATGACTGATCAAGATATAAAATAGTTACCAGCATATCATCCTCAACTGTCCCAGTAGGATTTTTTTTTTTTTTTAGTGGAGCTTATGCATTGACTACGATCCCCTTTCAGAATGCTTTTCCACATCCATTTGGTTCTATTCCATCAGTCTGTACTGAGGCATCATCAGCAGAACAGACCTGCTTATAGACTGAAGCTGCAATAAAACCAACGGAAGGAGGAAGTCAGTGTCCTTGTGCAGCTATTTATGACCATAGAGAGGAGATGCAACCAAAACCCCAAGCTGACTCAGCAGCACTCCGTTGTCTTTGTGTTTCATGGAAAGTATCAGCACGTGGTACGTGATCAGCGAGATCCAAGTCCAGGCTGTGCTTGCACAGAAAGATCTTTATGTTGCACCTGTCAGCTAATCAAGCTGGATTTCTTCATTGCAGTCATGCTGCAGCATGGAGGACACACCAAAGCAATTCAGCAACTGGCTTAATTGTTTACCTGCTGGGCTTCCTCAGCACTTGGGAAATCTTTCGACAGCATCAGGAAGGTGCACTCTTATCTGTGGAGAAATCGGACTGCGAAGCTCTTTCCTAAAACAGACTTTGGGAGCCAAGCAGCTGCAGCTGTGTGCCCCATCACGTAACTGCTGTTACTGCTCTGGAAGGTAACTCTGAATGATCTCGAACCTTTCACTGCCAGTTTCAGAGAAATCCTCCCTCATTTCTTGTGGACATCAGAGCATGCTCAGATTTATGTACCACAGCTGCTGCATCTTTCTGGGTGAATGACGCTCCCACTGTTGAGAACTCATAATTCTGAAGTCAAAACGTTTGCTTTAATTTAAGATCTCTTGTTGATATGTGCCACAAAGCAGTCTTTGTGTCTAGAAACTCATGAGAGCAGCTACAGCCTCAAGCTCAAAACTGTTTTTCCTCCCTCATCTCCTAGGGAGTGAGGGAGCATGGAGAGGAAGAGATCTGAGAAGAGTGTGTGGAAAGCTTGGAAAAACCCTGGTGTCCCATTAAACAGACATTTCAAGTTACTTGAGTAAAGTGTTTTTCTCCCAGCAGGGCCTTTTTGTCCACCAGGCACTGTTTTACATCTTCAGTTTAATCATTTGCACCAACCCTGCCAACCAAAACAAGAGCCAGGACCACAGAGATACCTGGAAAATAACTCAGGCTTTCACAGATGGCCGAGCGAGAGAAATTTCCCTTATGACCAATGGCCACTTGGCATCAAATACTTTTGTACACTCGAAACCCTCAGCCCTGCATCACATGCAGCACTTAGAGAAAGCGCCACTTCTTACAGTAGGCGAGGGATTTCAGGGGATCCTATACACTCACAGAGCACATAAGAAACCCTGAGATGGGTCACTAGCTCTAAAGGAGCCTAATGAAATCTGAGATCACAGAATCACAGAATGGTTTGGGTTGGAAGGGACCTTAAAGACCATCTAGTTCCAACCCCACTGCCATGGGCAGGTTGATTTACCTCCCACTAGATCAGGTTGCAGTTTAATTCTTCTGGGATACAGCGCTGACATTAGCACCATTCAAATTCCAGCTCAGGTACCGTGTTATACCACCTGTTCTAAAAACAGCAACTAATTGTAAGGGATCTGATCTCTCATCCGACAGTTGGCTAGCCTGCTCCTATCCTAATAGGATCCAGAACTAGTATTCTGCTCTCCATGAGCAATTATTTCCACTGACTTCATGTGCTTAATGACATCGTCCAACTGCCCTCTGACCCAAACGTGAGGGAATGAATCACGTTCTGTTGCAAAAAAAAAAATCTGCATGCAGAAAATTTAGCAGAAAGTTCTTTGACAGATGCCAAATAACGTATTTTTAAACAAATATTACTGTCTAACTTCCTCAAAGAGAGCTTGAATAATGTCCCCAAACAGCACAGAACAGTCACCAGTGCCAGCAGTAACTGAAACACGGGAAGGGCAAGGCCCACTGCCAAACCACTGTGAAATACACGCAAAAAGAGATATTCAGAGAAATGTTAGTGATACGGCAGCAGAATTACTAGCTGGGTAGGCTACATAAGAAGTGAGCACTGTCTGACCTTCAGAGGTGCCTTTCTGTTCTTTCGTGCATTTAAAAAACCCAAAAGGGCTAAGTACCACGATTTCCAAACATCACTTGTTTCAGCAAGAGAAGTTCAAAGAAGTAGGAAGCTTTATTGCATACTGAATTCTGCCTGCCTAGAGGTTCAGCTTTCAACCTAGAAAGATCACAGGGAGGGCCTCAATTCATTCCAGTTACAGAAGATACCAATTATTCTTACAAATAAAGAGAATGAAGAACAGAGAGATGGGCAGTCAGAGCAAGGCAGTGCTTCTGGAGCTCATGTCCTGGTAACACCCATTTTAAGCAGTGTGCCATTGTGCAGGTGCTGCCTTCCTTATCTGCATTTACCACAGGTAAAGGTTACAAACCCACGTGCTGCCTGAAAATTGAGTCAGAATCAACACTGTCTCTCCCCATTATCCAAACAGCAGCATAACAGGGCCAGTAATACCAGCTACAGGAACCACGGGGCTGGAGCAGCAAGGGATCTTCTCAGTGAGAAGGGACAGCCATTCCCCAGGCTCTCTCCCCTTTCATATTCACCTACACAGTTCCTTCAGGAGTTCCTCCATATCACTGGCCTCTAGCCTGTTAGACTAACAAACCAAGAATCACAAAGTAATACAGTAGAAAATTAATTCCTTTGCATCTTCAACAAAGTGTAGATTGCCACTTGGTCTGTGCTCCCAGGCCAAGGGCTTAATACTCAATGTAAGAGATTCCCACCCCCCACCCACTTCTGGAATCCTTTGCTCAAGTTTTTTAGACACAGAAAGAGAACGTTTGTCTCCAAACTTAGGAAAGAATCAGGTGTAATAGGAATCCAGTGGACCACCTTCTTTAAAAAGAACTGTGTGGAAAGAGACTGTCCGCTCCTTGGTTGACTTGGAATTTCTTACGTGATGTCCTTCTTTCTCGGGGGCCGATGAATATTCCTCACCACGCACTTCACCATCCACTCAATTCCCTCGTTCACTCCTTTGCTAAAGAAAAAAGATAAGTAGACAAGACTTAAAAAAAAAAAAAAAACCAACACAACAAACCCACAACAAACAACCAAGAACAAAAACATGGCTCATACAGTCCCCACCTGAACCTTTACAAGAGGAAGTGAGGGGTTCTGCAGTTCTTTATTGGCATGACTATGTTAGTTTCTCATACACACAAACAACCTGGATCTGACTTATTTTACTTCAGCATGTAAACTCCATCCTTTATTTTTCTGGTGTCTGTACAAGTTTACATCCAATTTAGTTAGTCATCAACTCTGTGGAAACCTTGGGATGAGCAAGCACCAAACCATTTGACAGTCAGCTGGTTTGGGGTTATTTTGCTACAAGCCTCAGGCTACTTGTATCAGATCTTCCAAATCTGGCTCCAGCTTTGTGTAATCATCTGTGCTGGGGCTGCCAAGTAAGTCACCGACTCTCTGGTCTGCACAGCTTCTGAGCCAGGACTTCCACTTTTTTTTTTTTTTTCATGCAAACTCAAACTGAAATTTTGAAAGGAAATTCCACACAGATCAAAAAAAAGAAGTGTCTGTACAAAACCCACAACAACTGAAAAGGTTGCGTTCCATAAGGCTATTATCTAACACTTCTCTTCCAGTCAGCGCTTAACCATTGTTCCTGTGGTCATTCCTATGCTTAACGGCATTTGATTCTCAGCAACGCAGACAACAGTGATTCATCTCATAGCTTAAGAAGCTTTTCTTATCCTTTACAGTAGCTTGTATAATAATACAGCTTTCTTGCTGGATTATAAAAAGAAGAAATCTCAGAGCTCTGGACTCAGCACAGGCAGTAGTTCAGACAGGAGTATTTCTAGCCGTCTGGAACACTGCTTTGACTTATGCCAAATAGCACTCTTCACCCAAAGAAGCCAAGTAACCAAAGTATTGCAAGAGTCAGTGTGCAGCAGTGATGCTAAGATAGCAAGAATCTAGTGGCTTGGTCAACATCATGGCATGCAGCTGTGTGGCGTGCAGATGTGTACGCCTGAAAAGAATTACAGTCTCCCAAATGTGAGTCTGTTCTAGTCATTGTATCTCAAACCACAGGCGTCCCCAGTGCAAGAACACTCCTGGAGATGGTTACATTAGCTACATAAAAAAGCTCATCTGCATGCCAAAAAATATGAAAGCAAGAGCATAATTACTCCACCAACAATGGGACACTGCTCATTTCCCTGGCAGCGTCAGCAACTGCTCTATTTTCAACTGATCTCTCACACACAAGCCAGGAGCTCAACAGCTCCATGTGCCTCCACGCCCCGTTGCTCTCAGCCAGTAGTGCATTTTCATCGTGTTTCATAGGCAGGATTTATAGATGAAGTTACTGACCTGGTGCAAGTCCAAGGGTCACAAACAAGGACCTGCCACTGCTGGGAAGGAGGTGCAGCTCCCCTTCAGGGGTTAGGAAATCCTACAGGACTGCTCTGCTGGCGGGACACCCTGCAGCTGTTCAGGTAACCAAACCATCCCTTCTCGTACTCACCCAGTGAGAGCAGAGCAGGCTTGTGTCAGGCAGTCTCTCTTCCCGATTTTGTTAATGCAGTCACTAAACGCTGTCTTGATGTCAGGTATCGACAGACAAGTCTGCAAGGGAAACCAAACCAGGGTTTGTTTTCTATGCTACAAGAGATGGTGACCTTCTTCCAAAATGAATCCTACCACATCCACAGCTCTGCTTCAGTCGGGACGGCAGAATGCTGTCAGGTTAAACCTAACAACACAGCAAGTTCACCTGTTTACGTGCCAAAAAAAATGAACATATTCTGTTTTCACCAAAGAGAATGCTATTTTCAGACTATGCACGCACTGCCACATCTCCCTCATCCTCAAGATGTACAATTCTAAGCAAATAGTTGTGAAAATGAGCACGATCACAACCTGCACAACCTTCAGTACTCCTTCCAACCTGCCCCAATCACCCCACACATGTGCCATCCACCAGAACACCACCAGAGCACATCTCTTCACAAAGCCTTCTGGAACGGTGTACCTGCCGGAGCCCCAGACAAGTCCGTTCCTGCAGCTGGCTCTCTGCCCATGGCCTGGATCACATCTCCCTACACACGCACTCTCAGAAAATGGCTTGGACATGATTTTTCCCGAGTTCTCAGCACATTCCTCAACATTAAAGGCATGGCCGCCTTGGACTTGTTTGCGTTTTGCAGGCAGGAGAAAATGCTGACAGCAATAAAAACAGCACGTGTTCTGACGCCTGGTCTCACTTTGTTCCTGATCCCCAGCAGGTCCTGTGCTTCCGTGAGGTTGCTAGGAGACTGCTGGGAAGTGGTTTTAAAATACACAAATGCTTAAACGCCCTAATAAACCAGCGGATTACTTTCCTGACATAAATTGCAGTGTTACCATGAAAACTTTATTCTTAGAGTTAGGAACACAACAAAAGCAAACCTCCCTGAACACAGGAAGCAAGTACAAGGAAAATCACCTGCTTTTAAATCCTTTTCTGATCTCGGTGCTTTTTCCTCAGAATCATTTTACGTTCATTCCTGAGTTCAGGGAGGAAGATGCAAGTCTAGACTTCAGTAGGGTGGGTTTGCTTTTGTTGTGTTCCTAACTCTAAGAATAAAGTTTTCGTGGTAACACTGCAATTTATGTCAGGAAAGTAATCCTTTTCTGATCCTGGTGCTCACTTTTTCCTCAGAAGCCTTGGACAAGCCGTTTAAGCACTTTAGCTGGCCACGAGCCCAGCTTTCTTCCTCTCTCGGCAAAGACACTTCGGACCTTCAGTGAGGCTCAAATACACATTTTGGGCAAGTGTTTACTCAAACAGCAAGCCAGACCCTTGTGAGTCTTGAGGCTTAGTCCAAGCGGATGTACGCTTGGAAAGAACAGGCTGCTTGCACAGGAATTCAGTCTGCTGCAACTCTGGGCCTTAACTTAGAAGAAAGACAGAAATTAACAATACCAGCTATTAATTTTGCAAAATACTGGTTCTGGAGAAAATAAATACAGGAAACTACTGCGGGGATAACCAGGTTTCAGTGCTTATAAATAAAGAGTTCTTAAGAAATGGCTTGAGAGGAGTTTAATGACACTCAATTGACCCAGTAACCTTGAATCCAGACTTGTGCTTTTCCACTGCAAAGGGCCTAGAATACATCAGTTGTGCAACTCCTCATGACTGTACTTTCTTATGACCTAAGTTGCATGTCAAACCTGCAGTTCCAATCAACGAGCTGGAAACTATATCCAGAAATGTCACTTCCTTCATTGTAACTAAGCCCTAACAACTTACTTCAGTATTTCTGACAAACGAAAGGCTTGCAATTCATAAAGATGAGCTGTAATCCACAGGATAAACAGTTAAATAAATTTTTAAAAAATCAAATACTAACTTTAGAGGGAGTCAGACTGGACTTGGGAGTTGGAATTCATACCGGTAGGTCTCGAAGACAGGCAAGAGCTGCACGTCAGTAATTTGAGCTATTTTTCATGTCATTACTTTTTCTTTCAGTAAATGAGAATTGGCAGCAGGAAGGTTAAACCCCAAGGCAGCTGAAACAGAGTGAACGCTGCTTGAAATGCACTTGACCACAGCCTAATAACATAGTATAACCATTTCTCCTTTTCTGAATGATGATATATTTTTAAGTCTTTTTAAAATAAACCTGAGAGGAAGAGTTCAAAGTAGGACATAACAGTGAAAGCACAGTCCTGCCGACATGACTGTCACGCTGTCCTTTCTTTCTACTTGCACAAGCTTGTGCAAAGCACCCAGACAATGGACTTTCCAAAACCAGCAGCAGAGCAGTACACCTGCACACGTCCAGCGGCACAGAGAATCCATGTCCTGCACCCTGTCTGCCTTTGAGAAGCCCACTTTTCCCAGAGCAGCCTACAGCTCCTGTAGCCGTTTTTTTCCCCCACCTTAATCCATCCTTATCACTTCCCTTTCTCACCCTCTGGTATAATTGCGGCATGCTCTAACTCCCACAAAGCTGTCCAGCCATCACTGTCTACAGAAATCTGCATCAGGAGGAGTTTTGCTCCTGAGAAGCCTTTGCACCGTTCACATGGTTTACAGCAGGATGTCACTGCATGCCAACACTGCACCTGTTTTGAGGAACACCCTTTTCCCCCTGGGATGAAGTACCGTAGCACCGCAGAGGTGACAGCACCACTGAACTATCAATTCGGAGAAGCCCTGGTTTACTGTTCAAGGGGAAGCCATGAACTGGAATCTTGTCTTAGAGCAGAGAATGAGGCAGATTACCCACCACTTCAACTAGGGGCATTTGAGCTTCTCGTGCTTGGCAGAAAATGTCAGCTGTGGCTTCTGAGTTCCCCTCTTTTCCACCTACCTATCTACATTACAAAATGTTTGGTTACAGATGTGTTTTGTCTCTCCGCTGAAACCACATAAACCAAGAGCAAAGGAGGGAAGCTGGATCTGTGACCACACAAACAGTGTACCATTCCAGTAATAAAATCCACAGATGACCTTTCTGGAGTGATATTATCTACCATAGATTTCAGAGGAAACGCACACAACTTCACAAATCGTATTTCTATCTCAACTTGCCCAAAAGAATGCACTCTAAATCATCTTTTCATGAGGGCTCTCCAAGGCATCGTCTACCCAGGACCAACCTGCCTGCACAAGCAAATTCCTTTTACAAAGCGTTCAGAACAGCGTCACCCAGATTAAGACTCAGGAACCACAGACCTAGAAACACGTCAAGCAGCCTGGCTCCATTTCTGGAGTCACCTGCAGAAAAGCACAAGTGGCAAAAAAGGGGCTGCATTGTAGAGTCTTCATCCATCTGCCGAACCCACTGCAAGAACGACAATGCTACTGCGTGGCCTCAGATCTGGATAAAACCTGAGGTATAGACTCCTCAGCCATCTCAAGAGTAATTGATCGGCAGAAGGGAACTCAAATGGAAACACGAGTAAGGTGGATAGCTCAAGTAAAATGATTTAATAAAAAGTCTAATCAACCTGATCTATGATCTGTGCTATCTTTTTTTTACAAGCTTATTCTAAATTAAAACTTAGGCTTGTTTAAATTAAAACTAATTTTACAGGGAAGCTGTGGTATTTCTTAAGCTGGAAGTCAGAATGGTGGTCATGCAGAAGGCCTGTCTTCTAACAACCTGCGGAAGACAGGTAACACCGAGTCTTCAAATACATGCTGCTACTCATCATGACTCCTCTCACGTTCTAAAGACACAAGGAGGCTTTCCAACATTCTGGAGATTTCAAACTACATTTCCAAAATTTATCTGAAGATTAGGAAGGCAAAACTTCCTCCCAAAGACATCATACAACCTGATTATTTTCACATGCTACTTTTTCAGCTCAGTTTCTCCAGCATTTTTAAGTGTTCCAAAATGAGCCATTCTATCCTCAAGTTTCAACAGTTCAGAAATATATAGCTTTTATAAACCTTTAAACAGCTGCATTCACATCAAAATGGCAAATATAGATACTTATTTTGCAGCTTTTTCTGCAGTAAACAGTAGGTGAGCAAAACCACCTAATATTTTAAAAAGTGGCATTCTGACTTGAAAGGGAGTCTACATCAATTATTATATATTAGACATTTAATTCCCCTAGAAAGCAATAGTTCCTTTAAAAAACAAAACAAAGTCCCTCCCACAACACACATTTGACCTGGTCTTTTCATTAATTACAAAATTATGCAGTTTTGAAGCCCCTGTTAAACACAGAGCATTTTCCTAGTACAAAAAAAAAAAATCATACACAGTATTGTCACGATATTAGAATTGGTATTTTGCAGTCTGTGATTTTTCAGCTCCTGATACAGCCAAACAGCTCTCCTGCCTGGCAGTGCTCAGGGGATGCAATTTACCCTGTGGCAGTGGTGTCTGTCAGCAGCGGAATTCTTTTCTACAAAGAATTTAGCATTGGAGCCAAAAAATTCTTACACTTTACACAATTTCAGGCATCTCAGGCCCTGAGTCAGAACTTTTGTTAGCTTATCGTGAGGAATGTAAACTCTAAAAAAAACAAAAAAAAATCTGTCACACGTACTACTTCAGATATATTTCACCACAAGTCTTCTGCTGGCCTTTAAAGATGTAATCATCACGAACTCTCTTTCATCCGCACATACCAGCAAGGTTAAGACACCACTCATGCTCCTTTACCGCGGCCCCTGTTAACAACAGAGGAATGC